GGACTAAAAATTCTTCGACTTAAATTCGAGTAATTTATTTAAATATCTTAGTTTTCCAATCAACTCTAGAAGAGAAGTTCTTGTGCTGGTACAAATTATTATTGGATGCCATTGCTAGTTTTCCAATCAACTCTAGAGGCGAATTCATTGTGCCGGTATAAACTGATATTAGATGCCATTGCTACTGAATTTTGTAATTTCATTGGATGACCCTTTGAACAAGCTCGAAAACCCCTCAAACACAAAATTCAATATTCTTGAAGCCACTTGACGGGTGGAATTTTGTCACAGCATAGTTGAACAAGCGACCTGAAAATTAGATGATCTTTAGTTAGCTATGTTTTCGGTCATTTATTTATTTTTCGGCGAAATGAGCTTTGGAATGAGCTTTTGTCTCGGCTATTTCACATGGCCAGAAATGGTCAGTCTCAATATCGGACCATTTCACAGTTAACTTCCAATTAAAGCTAGGTACTGAGTACCGAATCCAGGCTTCTATTTCCTGGGCTTCGTGCAACTAAAGTTTCTTCAACTTACATTCGAGTAATTTATTTATTTATCTTACATTTCCAATCAACTCTAGAAAAGAATTCATTGTGCCGGTATAAATTATTATTAGATGCCATTGCTACTGAATTTTGTAATTGCATTGGATGACCCTTTGAACAAGCTCGAAAAGTCCTCAAACACAAAATTCAATATTCTTGAAGCCACTTGGCCTGTAATTTTGTCACAGCATAGTTCAACCAGCGACTTGAATGTTGGTTGCTCTTTAGTTAGCAAAGTTTTCGGTCCTTTGTTTATTTTTCGGCTAAATGAGCTTCGGAATGAGCTTTTGTCTAGGCTATTTCACATGGTCAGAAACGGTCAGTCTCAATATCGGACCATTTCACAGTTAACTTCCAATTAAAACTAGGCACAGAGTACCGCACCTAGGCTTCTATTTCCTGGGCTTCGTGGGACTTAAGTTTCTTCGACTTACATTCTAGTAATTTATTTAATTAACTTAGTTTTCCAATCAACTCTAGAAGAGAATTTATTGTGCTGGTATAAACTATTATTAGATGTCATTGCTAGTTTTCCAATCAACTCTAGAGGCGAATTCATTTTGCTGGTATAAACTATTATCAGATGCCATTGCTACTGAAATTTTTCATTAGAGGACCCTTTGAACAAGCTCGAAAACTCCTTAAACTCAAAATTCAATATTCCTGAAGCCACTTGGCGGGTGTAATTTTGTCACAGCATAGTTCAACAAGCGACTTGAATGTTAGTGATCTTTAGTTAGCAATGTTCTCGGTCCTTTGTTAAATTTTGTGCGAAATGAGCTTCGGAATGAGCTTTTGTCTCGGCTATTTCACATGGTCAGAAATGGTCAGTCTCAATATCGGACCATTTCATAGTTAATTTCCAATTAAAGCTAGGCACTGAGTACCGCATCCAGGCTTCTATTTCCTGGGCTTCGTGGGACTAAAAATTCTTCGACTTAAATTCGAGTAATTTATTTAACTATCTTAGTTTTCCAATCAACTCTAGAAGAGAAGTTCTTGTGCTGGTACAAATTATTATTGGATGCCATTGCTAGTTTTCCAATCAACTCTAGAGGCGAATTCATTGTGCCGGTATAAACTGATATTAGATGCCATTGCTACTGAATTTTGTAATTTCATTGGATGACCCTTTGAACAAGCTCGAAAACCCCTCAAACACAAAATTCAATATTCTTGAAGCCACTTGACGGGTGGAATTTTGTCACAGCATAGTTGAACAAGCGACCTGAAAATTAGATGATCTTTAGTTAGCTATGTTTTCGGTCATTTATTTATTTTTCGGCGAAATGAGCTTTGGAATGAGCTTTTGTCTCGGCTATTTCACATGGCCAGAAATGGTCAGTCTCAATATCGGACCATTTCACAGTTAACTTCCAATTAAAGCTAGGTACTGAGTACCGAATCCAGGCTTCTATTTCCTGGGCTTCGTGCAACTAAAGTTTCTTCAACTTACATTCGAGTAATTTATTTATTTATCTTACATTTCCAATCAACTCTAGAAAAGAATTCATTGTGCCGGTATAAATTATTATTAGATGCCATTGCTACTGAATTTTGTAATTGCATTGGATGACCCTTTGAACAAGCTCGAAAAGTCCTCAAACACAAAATTCAATATTCTTGAAGCCACTTGGCCTGTAATTTTGTCACAGCATAGTTCAACCAGCGACTTGAATGTTGGTTGCTCTTTAGTTAGCAAAGTTTTCGGTCCTTTGTTTATTTTTCGGCTAAATGAGCTTCGGAATGAGCTTTTGTCTCGGCTATTTCACATGGTCAGAAACGGTCAGTCTCAATATCGGACCATTTCACAGTTAACTTCCAATTAAAACTAGGCACAGAGTACCGCACCTAGGCTTCTATTTCCTGGGCTTCGTGGGACTTAAGTTTCTTCGACTTACATTCTAGTAATTTATTTAATTAACTTAGTTTTCCAATCAACTCTAGAAGAGAATTTATTGTGCTGGTATAAACTATTATTAGATGCCATTGCTAGTTTTCCAATCAACTCTAGAGGCGAATTCATTGTGCCGGTATAAACTATTATTAGATGCCATTGCTACTGAATTTTGTTATTTCATTGGATGACCCTTTGAACAAGCTCGAAAACTCCTCAAACACAAAAAATTCTTGAAGCCACTTGGCGGGTGTAATTTTGTCACAGCATAGTTCAACAGGCGACTTGAAAATTAGTTGATCTTTTGTTAGCTATGTTTTCGGTCCTTTGTTTATTTTTCGACGAAATGAGCTTCGAAATGAGCTTTTGTCTCGGCTATTTCACATGGTCAGAAACGGTCAGTCTCAATATCGGACCATTTCACAGTTAACTTCCAATTAAAACTAGGCACTGAGTACCGCATTCAGGCTTCTTTTTCCTGGGCTTCGTGGGACTAAAGTTTCTTCGACTTACATTCGAGTAATTTAATTAATTATCTTAGTTTTCCAATCAACTCCAGAAGAGAATTTATTGTGCTGGTATAAACTATTATTAGATGCCATTGCTAGTTTTCCAATCAACTCTAGAGACGAATTCATTGTGCCGGTATTAACTATTATTAGATGCCATTGCTACTGAATTTTGTAATTTCATTGGATGACCCTTTAAACAAGCTCGAAAACTCCTCAAACACAAAATTCAATATTCTTGAAGCCACTTGGCGGGTGTAATTTTGTCACAGCATAGTTCAACAAGCGACTTGAAAATTAGTTGATCTTTGTTAGCTCGATTTCCATTTCCAAACGAATGACCGAAAACAATTTTTCGAGCGGCAACAAATTTTGTGTCGAAACCTGTTGAGCCGAAAACAAATCTGTTGTCATAAAACTTTTTGCTCGAATATATTTCGGATAAATTTTGCTCTCGAAATTACGCAAAATATGTTGACTAAAACCATATAACATTAACTGCAACTGTTCGAATAGTTTAAAAAAACTAAAAAAAAAAAGAAATAACTCGAAATCAGACATGGTAAAGTTACAAATTTGTTAAGTTTCAGTTATAGAAAAAACTGTTTAAACTGAAAAAAAACATGCTTTAAAAAGTAAAATCAATAAAAAACTTACCAGATAAAAAAAATGGCGTTCAAAAAAACGGAAAATAAACCGACAAACTAGGAAGTTAATCAAACACGAAAAAAGTTGAATTTTTTTGAAAAGATAGTTACAACCTGAAACGGACTTGAACTAATTACGAAAACTGAACAATAATTACGAAAACTGAACAATATTATGGCCACAAGAAGAAGACCGGCAAGTCATTGGACCGTTTTTGACTAACTTAATTTTCGTGCCCTATTACAATTCATCTACTCTGAGAAGTAACTTCTTCTTTCTGAGAATAGCTGAATTGGCGATGTCACAATTTCTCCAGTTTGCGCAATTCTGTGAGAAAATTTATGCTAACATTTAGTACACTGTTGCAAAAGCCACACCGATCGCATAAAAATAGAGACAAACTCGTTGAACAAAAAAAAAATTATAACAAAATTTATAACACGTTTTTTTTTCAAATTTAACAAAAACTAAGGTTTAAATAGCAAGTACTGCGACTACTCAGGAAAAGGGGCTTTGGCCTGATCAGTTTTGAAGTTATACTTTTTGAACAAATACCAAACTCTTTTGTTCATCAAACGCACTTCTTTTGTAGTCAGTTGACCTTTCAGAGCTTTTCGCTTTTTCAGCACTCTTTTCAGCTCGTTTTCCCCGCCTGCATTTTTAACCCAATACGGAGCACTAATATTTTTCCTCAAATCATACTCGTCGTCAGAGAGAACATCAAAAAAATCTTTGGATCCCTCGTTTTTGTTCTCTTTTGAAAACGGGTTTTCGTTATTTTTTTCTTCCGTAAGTTTCAAATCAATTGGAGGTTTAATGTGGTCTCGAATAGGTTCTGGTAGTTTGGTGTATTTGCCTTCCTTTCCAACCCCCTCTGTGATTCTAGGCTCTTCTAAATCTCCATGTCTGAACCCAATTCCGATTACCTTCCAACGGGTGAAAAAATGAGTCACTAAGGGCCGTACCGAACATCTGTGACTCTGATAGCAGGCAAACGCTAAATTTTGAAGCATGATATGAAAACCAATTCAGAACTGAAATAATTTTCAAAACCTACAGGACAGGAATGCGTCGAAATAAATTCAATTCAAGTAAAATTCTCAGACCCGCACACTCCAAGCGATATACTTAAACTTACTAATTTCCTTATCACTCTGAAAAGCAAAATTCTCGAGCTAAACCTACTCAGAACTGAAATTTTTTAGACTCTGTTTTCAATGCCAATGTCAACTGATGGAATTACTATTCCATAGCTACGATAGATTTCGTCGATCCTTTATGGCTTTCCTTTAGGATACCATTTTGATACCAAGTGTGGAAACAACTCCAGCTTAGAACATAGTTCTACATAGAATGATAACATAGTTCTACATAGAATGATAGGGATTGACAACTTTTATTCAACCATTTGGTTTTCACATAACTCAGAAAATTGTGATGTCAGTATTCTAACTTTAAATTCGATAAAAACAAAAATCAAATGAAAGTTACACAAAACAAAAACAATTTTCAGCTTTTCAAGACTTCGTTATTGCAAATTTTGAGCAAAGATTTGAAACTACAATTTACAAACGACTTCCAAAATTTACCCACAGTACACCAAGTATGAGCTGGAAACATGGGGGAGTCCATGCCTTGTAGAATCCTGCAAATCGCCAGACCTGATAGTTCCATATCATGATACAGAGAGATAAAGGTCCTTACTTTTTGCCTGGCAACATACTCGTCCTTTTCGACCAAAGCTACTTTTTCGGCTACATAAGCATTCGTCGAAGTTTCCACTGTCTCGAAATAACTCAAAACTTTCTCTGCGATATCCGAATTGACTTTTGGGTCAATAAGCAGCTCATCGTCTTCCGGGAAACAAGAAAATACTGATTTCTCTGCCACAGGCATCAGAAGCTCATTAAACAGAAAATGGAGACTTCTGATCTTCGAGTTTTCATGGTACTTAGTTTGATCTAACAAAAACTCAGTCAAAATTTCGCTTTGATTCAACTCGCAAAATGGAGACTTCTGATCTTCGAGTTTTCATGGTACTTAGTTTGATCTAACAAAAACTCAGTCAAAATTTCGCTTTGATTCAACTCGCAACATCGCAATTTTAAAACTGCGCTTTTGGCTGTCAGTGATATTTTGACTCCCATGTTTTTAGTTTGACTCACGAAAATCGACCTCGCTATTTTCTCATATGGTGCATTTAAAAAATTAGCAACAGTCGAAACTTTGAAGCTCAATTTGTTTCCGTCTCTTGTGGCGCCACGTCCAGATTCGGTCAACTTCAAAGCAACTTTGAAAACTGGAAAATCGTCCACGAAACTTTTCGGCAAATTGAACCCATTATAGAAGAACGCTGAACAGAAATCATTAGCTATTTTCTCAATGACCAGAGGCTTCGATTTATGAGTTTCAAGATATGAAATCATGGTCAACAGCGTTTCTTCTTTTACATCTAAAGACGCCGCCATTGAAAGGTCAACGGCAGCGTAATGATAATGATCTTCATTAGGTATTCCAACATGTTCACAGTTTATAAATTCTAAATCGTGGAAAACATTTGCGGCAACTTTCCGAATTGTCGATGGTTCTACAAAGGAGCTGTAAACATGTCTTTCCTGCTCATATAAATCAGCCATCGAGTCTTTGTTCAAAAATGTGTGACAAAACGCTACTTCGTTTGAGTTACGCCCAGCTCTTCCGATTTCTTGAACAAAGCTTTCTACGCTTCCTGATATGTTGTAGTGAATCACAGCTCGAATATTCCACTTATTGAGCCCCATGCCAAATGCTACCGTAGCTGAAACTATTTTTAAACTTTCGTTCATGAACTTTTTCTGAATCTGAGCTCGTTCTGAAGACGATTTTCCAGCGTGGTAACTCTCTGCTAAATCTTGCATTCCGAAAACAGTTCGTATATGCGCTGCTACTGCGTCACAGTCGTTCCGTTTCGTACAGTAAATCAAAACTGTCGAGAAACTCTTGAAGGGTTCTTTTTCGAGCAAATCGACCAATGATTGCAGTCTATGAGTGTCACTTGACGCACTGATTCTCAGATTCTTTGGGATCCTAACATCGTAGAACATTTGACTTTCCGTGATCTCAAGTAACCTTCCCATATCAATTTCAGTTTGTTTAGATGCAGTTGCGGTGATTCCCAGAAAACACTGAATTTCCCAATGCTCTTTTAGAGTACTGCAAAGTCTGAAGTAAGAAGGTCTAAAGTTATGCGACCATTGAGATATGCAGTGTACTTCGTCAATACATGCGAAGCTTATAGAAGGAAAGTTCTCCATTTGACGCAATACAAAACCTTCAACAATAGTTTCTGGGGAGACAAAAAGAACCGCTATTTTATTTTCAGCTAACTCCTTTAAGACATTATTTCTCTTCGATTCCGTTAGCGACGAATGATAACAAGCGGCTTTTAGACCTCTCGGGCAGTTTTTAACTTGATCATCCATCAGTGAAATTAACGGTGAAACTACAAGTGTCAAGGTTTTGAATTTTTTAAACAACATCAAAGCTGGCAATTGGTAACATAGAGATTTACCACTTCCCGTCGGTTTAACAACAAGCGATGATTTTCCCCGAACTATTTGCTTAATGCAATCAAGCTGCCATTTTTGCAGATTCTGTATTTTGAATATCTTTAGAGCTCCCGGCAACATCTCCAGGAACTCATCATCGTCCAATGTGAACTTTTCAGATCTAATACATGACTGAGTAGCATCGTTCACAAATTTGGGAACAATATTTAAAACTGCTTCTTTAACATAGCTCATAACGTCTGGTAAGCTCACAGCTTCGAAGGATTTGGGCGCCTCCGAGCTAGTTTTCCAGGAGCTGCGGTTTCCGTTTTTGCTCATATTAGCCATATACGAGTTTTCTTTTCTACTTTTAAATCTCTGAAACTGTTTGTGTTTAAATTTTTTCCGATTAAGAGCGAACTTGCTATTGCCTTTTACGAACGTTTTCTGCTTCATATTGAGTTTCACAAAGTTATCACATTTCATGTTGCTACTTTGAGCCGTTGCCTTTGAAGAACTTGATAACTGCTGAGAAGCTGAGCATTTTTGAGACATTGTCGAATTCTGGGAATTAGATTTCTGCAACATTGACACCTTACGAGAATCGGTTAAAGCAGTTTTTTCAATTATCCTTACTTGATTATCCTGCTCAGGGCTATTAGCACAACTCGATTTGAATTCAGTTTGCTTGTTAATACCTTGTGAAAATTCAGATAGATTTTCCGATTTGTGGTCGAGTCGTTCATTCGGTTGACCGGAGACTTCAGAAGTACCAATCGCGGTTTTTTCATCATTTTCAAGGTTCGAAGAACTCGAACCTGGAGGCGCCATGTCAGACCATTGCGGATCTTTGGAAGGAGAAAACTCGACGCTGTTTATCACTCCGCTTAAATTCCTTTTTAATAAACCAGAAGCTTCAATACGAGGAGCCAACTTCGTGTGCTTCTTAATGGGCGAACTCGATATCAATTTGTTTTCAATTTGATTTAGAACAAGATCTTTTGAATTCGTGCAAGATTCCGAACTATTCTTCGAACTCTCGGTATTTCCTCTTCCCGAGGAGGGTTCTTTCTGCTCTGGAATGCAACAGCTAAATTCTGTATTTTGAGATCTACTAACGGCAAGATTCGATGAACCAAAATTTTCTTCTGTGGCAACTTTCCTTTTCTTTGAAAATGGATCGAAAGACTCTAACACAGAAGTTGTTGGTCTTGAATCGTCATTACAACTTGTTTCTAGGTTTCGCTTTAGTCTTTTGATCGAGTATGATTTAGTAACTGTTTTCGAAGCTAATATTTTGGGATAAGTGAACTTCTGTTTGACCGTTGTCGGCTCGCTTCGGCGCAGCAAACTGTCGTCCCAAGCATTATTCATGTTTCTCGGATATTTAGGTAATACATTATCTGAAATTATATAACTACAATAACTTATAATGCGACTGGGCAAACAGCGTTTTACAGCTCGCTCAAAATCAGAAATTAAATCATACACATCAATGATGCAATATCAAGTAGGCAAAATAAATTAACAACTTGTTGTTTTTTTTTGTTTCAAACTCGAGTTTTCAATCCCCGGTCTTAGACTCTTTTTTGATCAAACGCGTCTTCTCTTCAAATCTCGACGACTCATTTTCGCATGATATTTGCTTGGATATCTCAACAATTTGAACTGCTTTAAAAGGTACACCAATTCAATCTACACCGAACGCGAAGATTGTGATCATCGGATTCAATGTGGCTTTTCATAATCCATCAAAGTATACTTCACAGTAGGCTGTAAGGCACCAATAGTATCAATTCCATTGTTCTCATGTACCAGTCGACACAGGAGTAACTTCTTCCCAACCGAGTGAGACACTCGGATCTGAAACAAAATCACGATGAACAAATTGACCACAAACAAATTGACGAACAAAATGACGAAAAACAAAATGCTGATATAAAAAAAGCTTTAATCCAAATCAACCCGTGAATAAAGATAGTGAGTTGCTGTGAAATTAGCACAGAATGCTCTGCCTCCATGACTTAGAGAAAAAATTGTGAAATGTTTTGTTGATTTGTTTTTGTAAGGGTTGATCAAATTAGGTCAAAAACGGCAGACAGAAAAGTAATATACTGCAATAGAATAGAATTCAATTTTTTCGGTGAAAACAAGTTTTGTTAAATTCGTCTGAAATTCGAAAAAAAACGGATTTTCTCGACACCGAGAAACTTTTTACGAGCTAAATTAAAACTGAAAGAGCTTACTGATATCCCTACGATCTTTCCTTGAGGTCGTCAAAATCGAAAAGAAAAAACACACTAGTGGTCGGAGCAATAACAGTTGTCGGGGGTTTAACTTGATACCACACTAAATCACATACCAGCTTTAATTGAGATATCTGAATTCGCATATAAAATGCGCAGATTCCATACTTAACTCCCAGCCTTGCATTAAGAGTGGTAAAAAATAACAAGTACAGAAACATTCATACCCAACTAAAAGATTTCGACTTTTTTAAATCTTCTGTGACGTCTCTGTTTTGGTTCCAAGTTTTCCCCAAAACATAAGAACCAGTAATATTTTCAAAAAACTTCAAAACAATGGTCCCATCGTGGTTATTAAATTGCATTCATCGCACAGGGGCATGGCGAGTACAGTATTTGCAACGTTTGAAAAATTTCGAAGAACAATTTTGGTTTTTTCATTATATATTTCCCATACTTTATTTCACACAGATACGAAGCTGAACTATGAAAACTTGAGAAATGAACAACAGCGAAAAGATCTTGAAATTCTAAAAAAAAAACAAATATTAGAAAAACTGGAATCAAACAACAGACTTCCTTGCTACTAGCCAAATACTTTGACCTCTAAAACACGGTAGCCTGAAATACTTTCCCACATGACTCGATAGTCAACTCAACGCAATAATAAATGTGCTCATTATGCAGATGAATACCTTGTACAATTTGAAAAGGCCCTCAATCACCTTTACGTCCTCTGAGAAAAAATATATTCATCTTTACTTCCTCACAACAAAACCGTTGGCACTTAAACACCCTTATCATTCCGCAAAACTGGTGTACCTCAAAGAGGTGTCGGCACGCCCATCCTTTCTAATATTAACATGTCACCAATGTCCCTACCACCTGTCAATAACATCATAATAACAACATATGCAGATGATGTTCCTATTACAACCACCAGCTCGAAGACCTCGAAATGTGAAAAAAATACAAACTTATGTAATTGATGTACGCAAATGGCTTGAAAAACGAAAATCAATACTTTCAGCAGACAAAACATCAGCGACTATCATGACCACATGAAAAAAAGAAAAACTCAAACCAGTGTCATTGTCCAAACTAATCCACCAACCACCAGGCCAAAACTCAAAACTTTTTGAGTGACAAGAAAACCACCTCACATTCGCTGAACACAGTGATAAACCAGCTCAAAAACAATCATTGACTGAAAAAATTCTCTGGAACAAGCTGGGAATGCAGCACAGAAACACCAAGGATTACTTATACGGCCAATGGGAGTAAGGTTCTGAATTACACAGCCCTGCCCCCTGTCTGCTGACTCTCAGTGGATGAAAGTAGTTGCAAAGATATACAAACTCAGCACTTTTAAACGCCCCAATTGGACACATTATTAGTGAAACTCAAATGCTTCGGCCATCAACTGGCTGCCATCAACCGCAGTGGTGTGACCAACACACATCCAAGCATCAATCAAGATCGAGGTTTATCGAAGAAAACTTGCCGAAAAAAACTATGATTAAATCAAAAACACCTTGATGAAGATAATCACATTCCACCAGACCAATACAAACTCCCATTAAGACAATACACACTGATGAGATATACAATTTTCTAAAACAGCCTTCTAATTTGACGGGTTGTCACACTCTTAGATGCAAGCTTCGGAAGAAATAACCTAGCATTACTTTTATGGCCAATAGGTGTACAGTTCTCAATTATGCAGCCCTGTTCTCGGTCTGCTGACCCTCAGTAAGTGAGTGTCGATGCAAGGATAAACAAACTCGACAAAAACAGCTTTTTAAATCGACCACAATTGAACACTTTTCTAGCGAAACTCAAATGCTTTCCGTAAAGGATCACCATGGAATGTTAAGTAAGCATTTTCTAACTGGCTGTCATCAACCACAGTGGTGCGACCAACGCATAACCAAGCATCATTCAAGATCGAGACTTATCAAAAGAATTCTTGCCAAAAAATACTATGATGAAATCAAAAACACCTTGATGAAGATGATCACATTACACCAAACCAAAACAAAGTCTCACCTAAGACAAAACGGGTTAATTTGACGGGCTCTAAATTCTAGAAAAAAGGTTCGGAAGAAAACAGCCTTCCCAGAACTTCACGACGCAATCATGTTCAACGGCTTTATCCCGAGATTAGACAGGAACATCAAAAACAAATGCTCAAACTATACCACTAGTCAACATAATTTACACCGCCTCTTTGACTGTCCTTGAAAGCCAACCACATCAAAATTGTCGACCTGCGGGACAACCGCGCTGGAGCCAAAAATATGGCTCAACTTTAAAACAGATAGGGCGTTCTTCGTTACAAACTCAGTGCCACAGGTACTGTTTGAAGGAAGAGAAAAATCTCGAATCAGTCAGCACAAGAAATACAGGGAAAAGCAGTACTGGAAATAAACAATAAAAGTCGATTTGGACATCTAATCCTTTAAAGCAGCTTTGAAAAACATCAACGATCTAATTTCTTACCTGAGATAGGACTGAGTGCAACTGTATATGATCACTGTCTAAACACACAGCAGTATAGGATGCATGATGCACCATTGGATCTCCCTCGTACACGAGAAAGTCAGCTCCGAACTTGCACGCAGAAGTAAGAAAGAAGCCCTTTTCATGTAAATCACAGAACACACGATATCTACACTCTTCATGTGCATTGATGAAATCTAAAAGCAAAAACACAATTTTTAGCTTTAACGCAAGGCTGTTTATTTTCATAAAATTTTTCTCAGGAATCAATAAGTAGTTTAACATATCAACACAGGAGAAAATGCACTTCGCAAAAACAAGCAAGAAAACGGCAAAAAGTAGCTCGATACAGCAAAAAAGGAAAAGTCACCAGTCCCTTGACAATGGGTAAACACTAGCCGCCAAAAAAGCAGAAACAACAGATGCTAATTACTTGCCAATTCTAATCAGCTAATAAATGCTTTTATTTGCCAGCTGGGTTGGGAAACAGTAATTTCGTAATATTACACAACTCTCGCAAGCTGCTTGTGTAATATTGATCATTCAACTAAGGAGCTTTTTCTTATTTTATTTCCCCTACCCCTTTCAGATAACATAAATATTTTCAACAGTATGGGCTGGATAGAATGGGAAAGACCCTTTTAATCTTACTTTGTTAACAGGAGAAAAAAAATCACGAACTTTTAAATTTGTATTCTGCGTATTCTCCCCAAGAATCAATATTCATCAACGGCTCTTCAAAAACAACCTTCGTACTTTTCTGTTCCTCCTTGTGCAAAACCTTCTCAGCGATTTCTAAAAAGTGTTCACGTCTTAATTTGGTCAAGGTTTCCTGCCGAGCCTTCGTGAATTCAGTTAGACTGTCGGACTTCAACATTTTCTGTCGCTTTCTGATTTGTTCACTCATAAGCCGATCGGCTAACTCTTCAACAGTCATAGTTTGGGTTCTGCTCCGTTTGCAATCAGTTTTTCCAGAACACTTACTTCGACTAACTAAAATGAAACATTAACAAATTATTTGACTTGGTTTTATAAAAAATACTTTGAACGAGAAAGATTGAATAAGAGAGCTGCAGAAAGATTGAACGAAAATGTTATGCGAAACTAAAGTCCTCCTTACAAACTCATCGTCGTTGTCGTTTTAAGATAGAGATACAAAACAAGGAAGCTAAGACGACGGAAAACAAATTAGAGTCGCGGATTTAGGGGGGGGGGGTGTGTGGCTGCCTAAGAGTCCAATTTTTTAAATTCAACTCTATCATCAAACCAATTGTGGACTCCATCATCAAACCATCTAACAGCAATTAAAAGTTTTCAAAAGCTTTGTTCAAAAAAATTCGAAAATGGATATTAGGAGGCCGAATCCCTGAAGGCGAGGCGGGATTGGGTAAAAGATGGCCTGACAGAAAACGGTTGACCCTCCGAAGAAAACTGTATAAATAGCCAAATATTGCGCAAATAATCAAAACATACCTACGTGTTGTTTAGCATCGCCCATCGTCTCATTGCTTTCTTTATGGTTTATATCACAATTTGAAGCCATGACAGCCTCGTTATTGTCTTCACACACGCCTGCATCCTTCTCAATCGGGTCTTCTTTTTTTTTGTTCAATACCTTGGTGCCCAAATCATAAACTTGAGCAACCCCTCTCACAGATAAATATCTTGCCTGCTCTTGTACCAATACAGCAGGTAGGTTGCAGACGTACAGAGAATCCGGCGAATGCTTGTCATTTGCTGATCCACATAGTTTTGCAACTATTCTATGTTGCTCTCTCAGCGTTTTGTAGATATTTATGTCGAAAATGAGGAAAGTCGAATTCGAAAGATATATTTCAAGCATTTAAATGCAACTAAAACGGCAACTCATTTGAAGTTTAATTTCAAAAGCAGACTTTTCGAAGTTTTTCTTTGTAAAATTTTAGACAGAGGTGAAATCCAGATGCACGAAAAAATGGAGGCCAATTAACAAAATACTTATCCCGATCTAAGCATGCAAAGTTTGAGACAGAACGCAACCATAGCTTTAAATTATTCATAAAATTTTTATCCTCAAAAATTTCATGTTTGTCTCGACAATAGTTTTAATTCACACAGAGTCGAAGCTTCGCTTCGCAAACACAAGAACACGATAAAAAGCAGCTCTTTGAAGTGCAATAAGAAAAAGAAGGAATAAGCCTCGAATCAATAAACAATCGTCTATGTCTCGGATTCGATCTGCGACGTAGAGATTATGAGTCTCACGAGCTAACCGCTCAGCCAATGACGCTTAATCCGTCACAAACACTAGCAACAAGTAAAGTAGCGAACAGATTCAATGAAATTTCCTATTCTACAGATCGTGATAATAGCAAAAGTGCCACCAAAGTGAACACTTTTATTTGCGAGTTAGGTTAGAAAAAAAAGAAGTTTCGTACCAATACACTACACTAGCGTAAATAAAACGAAAGGAACGTATTCGAAGTCAGAGTTCGTAAATTCAAGCTTTTTGTTTTGTTTTTATTTTCCAAATCATCATTATTATTTAAATCAGAAGAAAATTCCAAATGTTGAAAATTTAGACGACGAAAAGGTAAGCGGACAAAAGATAGTCCGACTATTTGAAATTACCAAGAGGAACAAAAAATGTCCGTCCGCGATTCGAACACCGAACCGCGCTACCACTAGACCATGCGAGAAGGGGCCTCCGCGTTACGACTAGACCAAGTGAGAAGGTGCCAAAGTATTGATGTTCCACTATAAAACCAGTTCAATTTCTGACAGGTTTTAAAGAAAAGTTGTTTTCCAAAAAGTCTTGTACCCCATTACGTCTTTTGCCCACGCAAGTGCTATGAAATTTTAAGAAATATTATACACAATTTTTTTCCAGATTCTAATTTAATGTAAGCATGATAACCTACTGCTTAAAATTATTCAAATAAAGTTTTTGAAGTAATCTAACAATAAAACATTAAACTATTCTATACTGTTCTCTAATAAAAATTTTTGAACCGGTAACTAAGCCGACAAACACCTTTATTACAATAAATTTGGGCTATAAAAATTACCGGAACTCAAATTTCGCAGACCCCTAGGAATGAAAAACCATTCTTTCCCCTCAGTTGACGCAATATGAAGTGACTTTCCCGACATGATTATCCGACACCCAAACAAAAAAATTTTAAACAAAAAAAATAGAAAAAGTAAATTCGAAGATGCTTTACAACCAAAACTAAATTTATACGTAAATATCGGATTTAAAGCGACTTATGCTCGAAATATGTTCGCGATCAAAAGATACGTGCGTGGTCTCGTCAATGTTAATGTATACTTAAACACCTAATCAGCATTTTTGCAATGAAACTGCTATCTATTATACGTGACTCATTATATTACCGCAAAACAGCAGCGAAAAGGATTGCGTCGTACTTGTTCCGACCACTCAACTGAGTCCGGAATAAAGTCTGGCTCAGTCAGCATTTTTTAATCGCTAAACTTCCAGAGTACAGTTGGTAGGGAAAATAGTGTATTATATATTCCTTTCAAGTGTACGCGTGAGTGCGGTGTGTTTGTGTGTGTAAGTGTAGTGTGTGTACGTGGGTGTGGACGTATGTGTGTGTTTGGCAGCCCTCTTGATACTTGGGGACTAAACATGTCCATTGAAATCGATTGGTCAATTAAACAAGCGTAAAGAGGCCCTTCCGTTATACGACATTCTGCGCACAAGTTGGACAGGGCCATACCGACGCTTAACACATGTATCAGCAAATAATTTGAGAATATTTCAGCCAATTCTTATAGCATCTAGAGACTTGTCAATTAAAATCTACCCACCTCAATTATTGAACTAATAGAATTGTCTATGCTATTTGTGTTTTCAGTTTCTTACACTCCCGGATGCATAGAATCTTAATCCCCAGAAGTGCAAAATTTATTTTGGTTCTTATAAAAATCCATTGTGTCGCAGTATGATTCAATGTCCAGTAAAGGTGGCGAAACCGAAAGTTTTTTAGGGTTTAGGTAAAATCTTTGCGAACCGTATTTGTAATAGCACGGTCCTAATTTGATTAATAATTCAAACTCATTTTATAACTTTTTCCAAAGGTGGATGGTCAGATCACAGGCTGGAAAAAAATCCTTGTTTACCACTCTCTTTAATTTGACCTCATTAATGACTCATTATTTCTTTCTAGTATTTGCACCCACCGTGACGCGTATTAAGTACCTACAATAAATTTTACTGTACTTTTACTGATACCATTTCCTTTGAACTGCCATTGTACAATGTGACAATTAGTTGACATTATGATAGTTACATTGAAACTCATTTACCTTCAGGTAAACTCGAATCACCGAAAAGGAAACCATTGTTTTCCTAGCAACATATTACTCACTCTTACTCTACTTTTTTGGACCCTTTCACCTTATTTGTCATGTTTGTTTTCCTCAACAAAGAGAAGCACAAGCCTACGCCATTTCAAATCTCCTATAAAAGAGGCTTCAATCGATTACATTGGTCATAATATTTATCGCTGCTTTTTAAAACTATTTCCAGGGGATCTTAAAAGATCGCTTTTGAAACTTGGTACGAGTCGGAAAAGAATTTATCTGAACAAATTCTAAGATTTATCCACTTGCAGGCTTGTCGTTTTTAACTCCATTAAGTTAACTTAAAAACATTCAATTAAGAATCATTTCACACAGCGGAAACATTCCGAAAACCTCCGAGAAAAAAAAACAAAAAAATCTTCCAAAAATGGACGAAGACTACATGAGACTGTTGCTGGAACAAGGAACAGTGGGAGGAGGCTTCACGGTATGATGGAAAGAAACAAACAAATCAACAACAACATCGAAATGCCGCAAACATCCAAACAAATTATCGATACAACCAACTGGATCAAAAGCGGCAGGAAAAAATTGGCAGGGAAATTCAATTCAAGAAGTCAAGAGTTTCATACGAACGAACAGCTGATCAGATTGATAAATGCAGTATTCTATTTATAATATTATAAAAGACTACATTCAATTTTTCCTTATCTATGAAAAAGTTTCAAAAGTTCTCAAAACTGATGAAAACGCCTTTTCGTTTGAGGTGAAAAATGACTATCGAGTCTTAATGCTTAAATACTGATCTCTTGTACTGACTTGAATATATTCTTCTCTTCCAAGTTTTCACTTCTCCGGCCCGTCCACAAACATAGAAAAAAATTAGTGCAATTTTTCCAGCCAGTAAATTGAAAATTCGAACCATTTAGGTTAAAAAAACTAATCGAATAGAAATTGCAAGCATCAAAAACAATTTTTCGGTTCCGGTCGCTTCAAATAAGCAGGAGCGATAAAAACTAATATGTACACAGCCCAATTGCAAACCTAGCGAAACAGAAGTGAAATATCATATCAAAAACATTGCAAGTTAGTTATTTCACACATTGTTTGCAGGAAACATTCCAAAAACCTTCCACAAAAAAAAAATCTTCCAAAAATGGCCGAATAAAATCATTTGGCAGAAAGTGTCTCTAAATCTTTTCACTACAAACCTTAAATTTTAAAAAATCTATCAGATCTACTTAACAATAACCCCCCCTTTTAAGAAAGGGGGGGGGCAATTGTTAAGTAGATTAATATAACGCATTTTCGAACAATCAGATTGCAGCAAAATTAGAAGTCTCAATACAAAGCTCTAGCGTTAATTTACTGCTTTTATTAATAGGGGTGGCAATTTTGAAGTAGGTACCAAAGGGCAATTGTTAAGTAGATCCAATCTATCTTCAAAAAAACGGCAATTGAACACAGAAAACAATTTTAGAAAACACTAAGAATTGCACTAAGGTGAGGGGGGGGGGGGGGGGCGATAATTAACAAGGTACAAAATTCGTATATTCTTGACTGTTCAGTTCTTTCTTTATAGGAAGGAGAGAGATTCGTTACAAGGTACCATAGGGGGGATGAAATAGTTAAACACGATCCCGAAAAGGCTTTAAAAATAATTGCCGTTGAAATAAATTTCTTCTTTCATACTAGCCCATTGGAAAAATGACTCTACAATCAAAGAGTTAAAAACACGTATTCCGATAAACGCATCCCGGGGCGTTCAACAGTGTCGAAAAAGGCGGGAAAACTTCAACATTTTAACCTCATTTTCTAAGAGCGGGAAATTACTGACGCTAAGTAACATGTGGAATCCCTCATACGCGACGGAACGAATGCGCGAAAATAATAATCAGCCAATCAGATTTCAGTAATCTAAAATTTGGAAAGAAAGTAAACATTTCCAGGGACTGAATATTGATATTGGCCGAATATAAAAACGACAGAAATAGGCAAAATTTTCAAATTGTCACTGACCACCGCCCAATTGGAACAAATTTTATATTTCAAGGGTTTCGTTTTGAAAGAAGCAAAATATTGCTTCATTTAATTCATTTTAATTGAATGGCAATTGCTTCTTTTTAAAAACTGACTTTCGGCTGATTTTGTTTTCTGTCCTTCGCTCACGAGTTTTTTCGCCCATTTGGTCCTTCGCACATGAGAATAGCCCCAAATTAACAAAGAAAATCACTCCATTTTGGCGCCAGAATGTCTGTAACTGCAAACTAAACGTTGCAAATTTTCTCGCTCAAAATACAAAAGTGTCACTTCAGATTGTAATCGATCGCCATTGAATTTTCGATTGCCGCACTAAATATGGTCAAATTTGTCCGAATTTTTGGCACTGCCGAACAAATTTTTCATTTTTGGCACATTTGAACTATTTTTTGTCTGCACTGTTGTATATAGACAGTGTTGTACTGCCCCCAGCCAGGATTGCTCAAAAAACTAGATCTGTTAAATGAATAAAGCTAGTTTTGAAACAAAAATATGCCAAGACAATAGATTGGGCAATGAGCATCGGAAGATAATATACCCAGCGGTAACAAAACCGAAAATACCTCGTCAAAAACCTTGTCAGAAGTCGAAAACAAATATCAAAAAGACTTTAACTTCTGAAAAGTTAATAAGTCCACCTCACCCTCAAAAGACTTTATTTGCTCGTCAAATGAAACATTATGAGCCCACTAAGCCGATATAATATAAACCGAAACCTATTAAGCCCAAAAAAATGAAAATAAAAACAGCCAAAAAATTTTTATGAAAATTTATGACTGATAAAAAGTTATAAAGTCCCCCTCAACCTCAAAACAAGAACACACAAAAAATTTTTGGCTCGTCGAAAGATGCAACATGAGGCCAATAAGCTGATATAAAATCGGCCGAAAACTTTCCAGCCCAAAAAAATAAATAAACAAAAGTCGGAAAAAGATTGTTAGAATGAAAAACTTGCAATATAATTCTATCGGAATTTTAGCATTTTGTGCAATCCAAAGATGAGTGTTAAAAATGTCTTTCCGTTGCAACGACTCAAAACTAGGCCACTAACCTGGTAAAACATAGACCGAAATCAAATCGGCAGAATAAAGTTTCTGTTGTTTGTTTTTTTTTACCAAACGACCTCATATATATATATATATATATATATATATATATATATATATATATGTATGAGGTCGTTTAGTAAAAAAAACAAACAGCAGAAACAGAGTGAAATCAGAACAGTAAAAGCAACTATAATGTAAAAAAAAAACTTTACAAAACTATACAATATGGCTACTCAGACGACAAAAAATCAGACAATCATCAGCTGACAATTTTTTGAAACGGACTATTTCAAGTTTGAAACAAAACGACCGCTCATTTTTTCATAAAAAGCTTTAACAAATATTGAAAATCAATGACCGAACGGCAACAAAGGCCAAAAAACTTGGGTCGACCAAAAAGTATATTTTCATGGCGATTACCTTTTTCATTAAAAAAAATATGTCAACACCAGTTGTGCAGCGAAGAATCACAATCTGTTCTTTCGATTAAACATGAACCTCAGATTTGGCAAGGAGTGTTCGAGAAAACGGAAAAGTTTCCAAAAAACGGTCAAAATTTGGGTTTTTTCGGAGGCCAAATATCTTTTTCTACCCAAATCAGGGCGTAGCAGCTTATGTGACGGAGATCGCCAGCTAATTTTTTTTATTGACTTTTTGAGCGTCTCAATAAAATTTAAAAATCAAATCCAATACATTTTCATATTCGTTTTTTTATCAAACAGGATCTAGCCACCAATAAACCAGATATAAAAAATAAAGCTATGGAGCAAAAGTTAATCAGATATAAAAATGCGAAGCTTTACCAAAAAACGAGCACCTTTACCTGCGACTTAGGTTGGAAAAAATGTGGATACCGTAATAAGTCACTACAAAGCACTTTTGTGAAAATCAAAATTTTTCAGACCCGTCGCTACTGAAACAGGCAAGACCCGTCCCTAATTAAACAGGCAATACCTGCTGAAACAGGCAAAAGCATTGAAAATAAGCCATTCAAACTACACGTCGTAAGTTGAAAAACCCGATATATAACATAAGCTGAACCTGTTTAACCTCAAAAAAATATATATTAAAAATCAGTTGGCAAATTTGCAAACTACAGAACAAGCTTCAATTATAGACAAAACTTTCAAACCTCAACTGAAAAAGCCAAAGAAACTGCTCGAAAAGCGTACCAGATAAAATAAAAAGAATTTGAAAAAAAAAGGAAAATCAGCAGACAGAAATTAGGACGAAAACCACAAATCCGAAAAACAATCAACGTTTTTTAAAAAAGAGGTGAGGTGAGCTGAGCTTTTCTGTACTTGCAATACCGCAAAAATAGCATTGCAAATTAGCAGACAGGAAAGGAGATCCACTAAGTCCAAAAAAAAGACTGAACAATTTTCGAAGAAATCACAAATAAAAAACTTCAAAATGTTGCCTAGAATGATGTTTTTTTGCGGAAAAAATCCAAAAACACATTCCACGGCGTTTAATAAAAACTCCCAAGCATTTATCAAGCAAAAATAGAAAGATTGTCAAGAAAAACTTCGAACTAGAAACTCTATTCTGAGATTTTTAACGTTTTGTGCGACCCGGAGCAAAGCATACAAATCATTGTTCCCTCGAACGACCCAAAATTAGGTTGGTAAGCCGATAAAATAAAAGCCGAAATCATTAAGGCTGAATTTTCTTTAAGCGAAAAAATTATAGGAAGTCATGGCAAATAGAGTTACGGCAAAAAATTTAAGATGAGGCGATTAAGACAAGATAACTTAAGCAAACAAATAATAAATTTTTTTGAAACGGAATACTTCCCGTTTGAAAAAAAAACATGTCCTGATCAGATTCCGACCCAGGACCTTTGCCGTCCCAGGCGTATTCGTGACCTCCAGACTAAGTGTGCCGGAGATGATAATTTAATTCATTATGAACCAAGAACAAGTAGTTAACCCGAAAAAAGTCTATATTCCGATTTGATAACGCTTGCCAATCGCAAGCGTAATAAATTTAATTGAAAAACTAAGTACTAATTGAAATGAGCTAAGAGCTAGTTTTACTTGAATTTTCAAGAAATTGATTATGTCAGCAGAATTTGTAAGAAAAGTTGTTTACGGGAAAATCAGTCTAGTTCCCGATTACAAGTCATTTACTTTCGCAAGTCTAATATACTCGGGAACTAGACTGTAAATCAAGTTGATTTTTTGATCAAGACTATCTGCCCTTTAAACCGGACATGGAGTTCCACTCAGGTCTACGCACGATAAAAAAAAACCTGGCTCTTAGAGCGCGCATATTCAACCACATACAATCCTCCCTTTTTAAGTGCGCTATGCAGAGAGGAGGTGGTTCCCCTTCAACTTGGTTTTGCCACTTGAGATCCTGGTGGCAATGCAGTGATAGATGTGTCAAGACTATCCAATCAACCAAACCGAACAAACAAAATTTCCATTACTCTCTCGCTCTCTCTCTTTCTCCCAATATACTATATAATCAGAACTTGAAAACAGAGATCGCTGTAGGTACAACAACAACAGTCATGAGAAAAGAGGCCTAGAAGTTACTGAGGTTCTATAAAAAATCAAGGTCAAATTTTATATATTTATAAGGAACATGTTTAATGGAAAAAGTCAACTTCCCAATTATAATTACACTTGCTATCGCAAGAGAAAAACGCCCGAAACGAATGTTCCTTCTTATTTTCAATGGTTGGATTAATAATGATTATAAAGATCAACTCTGTTCATGATCATACCAAAGGGAAAACAATTGATAGATATATTCACTCACGTCTTACTTGTTTATTAAAAAAAAAAAACTCAAATGGCTCAATTTAAATTGAAAACATTAACAGCCATATTGAATCAGAACGCATTGACACCATTACATAGAGGCAAATATACAGTTTATAACAATCTTGAATGAACATGAAAAACTACTTACCGAATCTCTGTTCGATAGATAAATATGAATGAAATGCACCTACTATGTCATCTAACATAATACAATCAATGTGCGGTAGGAAAAAAATTTCAGTGAGTTTCGTGTGCCATGGAACAAATCCATAAAGACAAGGAAATCCTCCACTTACTAGAATCATATCAGCGTGAACGCCGTTTATTCTTTTGGTGACATCACAAGGTTCTACTGCACGAGGTTGTTGGCGTCGCGAACTATTGAGAGCATCTAACATATCATCAGAGGCTTCTTTGAGAGAAAAAATAAACGAAACGTTGTCATATTTCTCAGCTCTTCTTATGGTTTCATAAATCAATTTCGGGTCATTGGCAAAAGGTAGGAACAAAGTTATATTTTTAATTTCGAGAATATAAAGAAACAGTAGGTAAATTTCTAGCTTTGTGCAAAATACAGGGGAATCATTCAAGCTCCTAAGACATGGTAATATAATTGTAACATTTTGAGGCAAGCTTTTGTTTTTCGGAATCAGCTTTTTCAAATTATTTCCAGCCAAGTAAAGTTGTCCCGCATCGTACTTCGTATTGGAATAAAGTTTCCGAAGTAGTGATAACTTGGTGTAGAGATAGAACTTAATGAAATGCGCAACTAGTATTTTGAAACAAACAAATGACGCTGCTGCAAAGGCCAACAAAGATCGATAAGCAAACTGTATATATATTTTGAAAATTTTTCCGTTAGCATTCACAGCTTTACTGAGCTTTACCGGGTCGCTCGAATTTTCCACCGTCTCGTAAAATCGGATTTGCTTTCTGACATAAACTCGAGCATGGCAGACAATTCCGAGGAAAAACTTGAAAATTGCATGAAGCGCCAGGGATAAGTCCACCAGAAATAGAACCACTTTAGCCGCTGTCATTAACAACCTGAATTTATTTCAATTAAGTTAAGAGTATAAATTTAAGGACGCCAACTTATTGTATAACAATTGTTTGAACTTTGCTTAACAAAACTTTCGGACGTATAAAACACTTGACTTTAAAAACAAAATCCCAGCTAGATTCAAAAACAAAATATGCGTGCATCTAGTTCTTACAAATACTTGAAATTCATACGGCTCAGAAGTTGGGGCAAACTCGAAATAATAGGACCGTACCCCGATGAATTATCATAAAGTTCAAATAGTGGCGCTGCCACCAATTTATAGTTTCGAGGAACTGAAAACAAAGCTTTTTCTGGAATCTTTACTAGATAGAGTTGTTTGTGCTCTTTCGGCTTAGTAACATGTGCAGGGATATAAGGGTACTGAGGAGGTTCAAAGTTTGGTCTCCACCATTGTCCGAGCAGGGTTTCCACCTGCCAGTCAACAGGTATATGCTCTGATCGGCAAAGAATGTCATTGAGGAGTCTCTTGAGAGCAGAAACTTCATCTTCCTGGGCATCTACTTCGCCACCTGGAAGTTTGAAAAATGAAGCGCCAATTTGAAGAAGCAATACATGCGGCAGGTTGTGCTCATGCACCAAGAGAACAGCTTCGACTGATCTTCGCAACCCTATACTTTCAAATTCTTCCCTCATTCTCTGAAATCGCGCACTAATACTGGTATCCTTCTCAAAAAGAGGCTCTTTTGTGCCGAACGTGTAATTAGTAAGAGGGTGCAAATAGAATTTGTCTTCTTCTGTATTATCGTTTCCATTCATTTGACGAGGTTGTGCATCAATATTCATCTCTGAAATTCACAAAAACGAATTCCTTTTCAAACAGGGAGAAAACAGTTTCACATCACTTTTGCTGCCCTAACTGTTGTGATAAATTGTCTGTGGGAAAGAGCTCCTGGCCTGGGGAGTCTGGTCGTGCGCCGCTGGACCTTCTGAACTCGGCTGACATTATTCCTTGCCTGCCAGTTTATACTTTTCTTTAAATTATAATTTTTTTGATCAAAATCAATTAACATCAATAAATGGAACGTGATAATTTTAATAATTTTTTCTTCCATATTCTACATTAGTAGACCGAATTAAGCGCAAATTGAGGATTTTTCTCACTAAAACGCGAGTTTTTAATGATGATTTTGGACCATAATGTGACATTCGACCAGAATGTGAAAAATGCAATCTCTGCAGAATCCGAAATTTTAGCAGCGAGCCTTCCGGATTGGTGATTATTGAGAATTAAGAACGTTATTGGAACGATTGACCAAACGGTGAGGGCTAGAATATTCTGGTATTTTAAAATTTCAAAAATTCGAATTATGACGTCATATTTCTGAGAAACGTCAGAAACGGCCATTTTGGCTAATACAAGAAAGAAAAACAGAACAACATTAGCTGCGCTAACAACAACTACGAAATCGAGATTGGAAAACGACAACGAGTTACAGAGTAACAGAGAACACTCCGAGTTGCAACTATTGTGCCGCTACAATAGTTGCAAGGCCGTTGCGAACAACGGTGAAGGGTGAAAGACGGCCTTCCGGATTAAGAAGAAATCAGGATTAACAAGCTTGATCCAGCGGATTCATCAATCCGAAGGGTAAAGGAACTGAAACTTTTATCCTGTTCCATAAACTTTTAGCTTCCTGTCATGTCCTGACTTGAATTTAATTAACATCTAGATTCGTTTTGATAAGGATGAGAAGCTAGGAGTTGGGGGAAAGGGTTGATCCATCTTCGATGGAGATGATGATTTTTATCTACTGAACAAAAACAATAGTAATATAATAAGTAGTAGCCCTGTTTTTAGGAGTGACATCGTGGTCTGGGGATACTGAAACCCAGCCATGAGCTCACTATTTCTGCATGTAATCTAGTTAATTTGAGTGTTTTTACCGAAGCCGAAAGCAGTAACGTTTTTTTCGACCCGATGTTAGAAAGACCACCGAAAAGTACTGGCTTGGTAGAGACGGTGAAAAGCATGCAAAGCTCTGTTTAGACGTTGGCCAGTCGTCTTAAGACTTAGTTTTGTCTTCCCTCGATATGTATCTTCCGGGCGAATGTTACATAGATGTTTTTATGGCGCTCCTGGGTGTTATTCTTTTTTAACATCATGACCGGCAGAACCGTTAACGAGCACTCCGCGCCGAGCGGATGCTCACATTAACGCCCTTAATAGGCCTAAACCGCCGGGGTGGAAGGGTAGTTCGGAACGCGGAAGCCTTCCGGATTACCGTGAATAGCTTTTTAACTTAGTTAAGACCGAAAATTCACGAATCAGGAAGGGTGGGGGGATCGGCCATTCCCTCGTCCCCTGAGTGGTTTGTGACAAAAAACACTTAAAGATATATGTAAAACCAAACAAAAAGTAGTATAGTACCCAAGAAAAACAAAAAAAAACAAAAAAAAACAAAAAAACCAAAAACAGTAAAAAAGTAAAAAATCTGTAGAAATCATCCCCCCAGACAAGATGTGATCCGACCCCCCCCCCGTTTGTTGTTGATAGATATATTGTTGTTGCAAGCATTTATATCAGTCAGGATCGTTACGATCAGTTTGTAGCTCGTTTGTGAGGCTTGTACTGTAGGGTTATTTGAGCTTTTAAGCATGTTAATGATAAATTGCGCTCAATCCGGAAGGGTCAGCTGATTTGCGCTCAATTCGGAAGGGTCTTGGCAGAAGACTGATCCGGCAAGCAGTACAGGGAGCAACAAGAAGGCGCTCAACGACAACAACAATCGACTGTTGGGTATCGTTAACAAGTTTTGTATCCCTTTTGGTACAAAAATTAGGATAGTAATCTGTGGGGGGCTCGACAGTGCTGCACTGTAGTGACCCTTCACCGAACTGCGAATACCCGAGTTAAGCACCTTAATTCGGATATTAAACAAACCCGGAGGGGTATAGTATTACTAATATTATTACTTATATAGCCTATATTAATACTCCTATATCGTTTTTTAGTGAAAAAAACAGAAAGCAGACCGGTTTTTAGGGTCAAAATAGCGATATTTTGATCACCCCACAAGTCGCGATTTTTGAGATATCGATATTTTTTGAAACGGAAAAAAGCGCTAAGTTAGTGTGTTACATCGTAACTGCACTACCATAATAAAGAGAACCGGTTAAGTTTAGTTCGAAAGTGGTTGGAACTACTTTGGTACCGAGAACCGAAATTTGGTGATTTTTGAGAAAACGAAACACTATAAATTTTGAAAATTTTTTGAAATTTTTGAGTTACGACAGTAAAAATAGTTGTTCGGACAACGTCCACTAGTGAATTTACAAGTTTTAAAACCCGCTACCCGAAAGCCTTCCGGGTTGCAGAGAAATCGAACTTAACGTGTTTGATTTGGTGGATTCATCAATCCGGAGGGGTACAGGTAGCATAGTTTTTCGCAAATTTCTTCTACAAAAGCGTTTTATATCGGGTATTTTACATTGAACTAGAAGAGTATAGGCCTTCTGAGCTCGGATAAATAACTTTTGGGTCGAAAGGACCAGATTTGCGGAAAAAGTTAGGCGGAACCTATAAGAGAGAAATTTCTTGAGTTTAGAAAAAAGACATTTTGGTTAATAACTTTGGAACTACTGGGCATATCGAGTTGATCTTGGTACCAAAAGATCAGAAATTAGCTGAGCTTACTGATAAAAAAAAACAATTTTCGGAAAAGTAAGCGTGAAAATTTTTGAGATTGTTTTTAGCAAATTCCTCAATTTGGAAGGGTACACCCTTCACGTTTTACAAAATTTTTTTAGAAAAGCCCTTATACCCCTACCAAAAGGTAATAGCGATTGAATAAAGTAACTTTAGGCTGTTCTAGACGAAAAGTGAAGACTAAAGGCACAGCAAAACCTTAATCGAGCCGAAGTTAGGCGAGCGACAAGACCCTTCACCGTTAGTGTGAATTGTAAAATAAGAGGCTCAACTTCAATCCGGAAGGGTCTAGGAAAGTAGTACATACCCTTCCTAGTTAATTGAAAGAGCAAAATTGCATCGGAGAACGTATCCGGAGGGGTATAGGTTGAAAGAAGGTAAACTCCGAAAAGCTACTTTTACAAAACCGGAGGGCTCCCAATCCGGAGGGGTCAAAGATTTTTCAAGTTAGGAGGGGTCCGAATCCGGAGGGGTCTTATAGTTGCTAGTTCGGAGGGGTCCAAATCCGGAGGGGTCTTATATTAACTAACTCAGAGGGGTCCCAATCCGGAGGGGTCTAGATTCTATTAGTCCGGAAGGGTCCTATTTGTGCCAATCCGGAGGGGTATTATTTTATTAAAGGACTTAAGTAGACGGAAGAAAGATCAAAGTAAGAGGTATTAGGTTATTAGCACATAGGCTAGGTATCAGTGACTGTACTGGTATCTTGCCTTTCAATAAGAACCAGACCGAAATAAAACAGCTCCAAACTCGGATATTCGCGACACTAAGTCTAAATTAAAAAGAGCGTGATTCATTGGTGTGGATTGTAACATAATACGTTTTTGGGAAAAGTGACTGCCCTGAAGATTTTAGTAGGTCTAGCTCGGGCAGTCCGAAGGCAGATAGGTAACACAGTACTCGGTGGGTGCAATAGACGCCCACTTGAGAAAATTACTGCCTTCAAAGTTTTGTCTGTTTGGTGCTGCACCGAGCAGGGAACGTTTTTTTTTCTTTAAAAGACAAGTTCGACTATTGTACTGCGACCGACTAAGAGTACATTACACATACGTTTTTTTTTCATAGAGGTATTCATAGTTTGACATTAAATATATATATTTTGTTTTTTGATTTTAAATCAACATAAACTGTGCTTGATTGGGTAGTGAGTACACTATCTTTTAAATTGACTGATAACATCATATTGTGCTAGTTTTCAAATCTTACCACCGATAATCGGTTAGTGTGAATAAATTTTATACAAACTGTACTCTGATAACATACAGGGATTCGTGGTCACTATTTATAGAATCTTGTGAAAATTATTGTGTTGTGTCATTATTATTGTTAATAAAACTATAAGGTCTCTAGCAATCGAGTTAAGTATAGGCATTAAAAAGTGACAAATAGAGAATGAGTCTAGACAAGTCAAGGATACCAAAACGAGGTAATAGCTCTAGGAAATTCATACCTGAAAAGCAAAGAAAAACGATGACCGATCCTTTTGTGGATTGGATCAAGCGATCCCGGTCCGACAAAGGGGAGACGGTTTCAGGCAGAATGGTTGAAACGAGAAGTCAGAAGACCTCAGAAGAGCGAAAAGAACTGTTAGAAGTGGAGGTCAATACGGACCATACCATGAACGACAACCAGGAAGTAAATGGACTGGAAGGGAGAGGCAGAAGGCTGGCGAGTGAATCTACTCCGGTAGAACAAGGCCATGATTTTGCCACTTCCACCGGGACATTGGATCGAGAGGAGATGTCAGAACTGTCCGACATCTCGACTGAAGTAGCGGCGACGAGAAGATCTCCGACAGACAACACTATGACGGCAGGCGGAACTGGGAAACAAACAACGTCATCATCGTTCTCAGAGAGAATGAAGAACACCTTCGGAAACATCTTTCCATTCACCATGGGAGGAGGCGCAGGGAACGAAGTTGAAACCCAGGAGGAAGAGAATGAAGAGGAGCAAGGGGACTTTGGATCTCAAGTCAGCCTCAATAGTTCAATCCAGGAGAATGAGGCATACGTCGGAAGAGTGACTGGAACCATGGATAAATTTGGTGTAGTGACAACGATAAGCAAAGAGGCAAACACACCGGGCCAGTCAAAAGACTTCGCGATTATGACGAGTTCAGAGCCACAAACTGG